TGAAACGAAAGTCTCATTGGAAGAATCCAGAGCCTGGGATGAACTAATAGGGAGCCATCGAGCTCGCTTTCTCAAATCTGACTCATAAAATAAAATTTGTAATTATAAGTGGTTATATGCACATTCTTTTATTTAATTAACAGTGAAATGAGCGGCAGCAGTCATATAGAAGATAGCGAAATATACAAAACGAATATTTCATTAGAAAAAGAGTAAAGATATCATAACTAATTATGCGCAACGGAGGTTGTTGAGACAATTAAATCATATTCTTCGTTATCCACAAAATTAGTTTTTAAAATAAAATTTTCATCCGAAACTAGTTTGGTTTCGGTAAAGCGTTTACAGGACAGTAACAATTACAAGCTATCCTCATCGCAAGGGATACGCTGCTCAGCTGTTCTGACATGTTCTCGAAGTTTTCAATACTTCAGCTTCCATGAAAACTTAGATTATTACAATATTTGCAGCTTTTTAATATTTTCTAATCTGTAACTGGTGCGATAGAACAATAGCGCAATACGGGTCATAGTAGATCGCACGGTCCATGGTTATTGCCTGCAATCAAGCAACTCATGCCGAGCGCACGACTTGAATTTCCTCGGCTTTTTTCACTCAACATCAACGAAGGGAATTTTTTTTTAAATTGATTTTAAGACTTCGGGTATGAATATACCCGAAGTCTTAAAATCAATTATAAAAAAAATTCAATCAATCAATCAATTAAAATCAATTATGAAAAAAAAAATTCCCTTCGGGTATGAATATACCCGAAGTCTTAAAATCAATTATAAAAAAAATTCCCTTCTTTGATGTTGAGTGAATAAAGCCGAGGAAATTCAAGTCGTGCGCTCGGCATAAGAATTTCCTCGGCTTAACGAAGGGAAGCTACCGATGCATTTTGGATGTGAGTGGCGGACGTTCATGGCAAGACACGCCAACCTAGAGCGTCATTTGATCGCCTTTCATCACGAAAGTCTCATCACTCACTCAATTAATAAAGCTACTTCTTACTTAAAATTATTTTGTAATTATTCATTGAGAAAACAATTGATCGGATGTCACAACTAGATGCCTTTCTCACTAAATTTGCAGTGTGACCTCAATAATAATGAAGTCATTATATTATTAACTGACATCAAAATCAATGTCCAAAATAATTCTATACCAGAATAATCGGCAACAACGGAGTCCAAAAGTAATGTTTAAATTGATTCTATGTCAGCTATTTAGAATAGAAGTGCCGGCATTGAAGAAATAGGCCCATGGCCTGTTGCCGATTCTTGTACCTACTTTCCGTGACTTGATTCCACAAGGGATCCGGCCTTTGGAACCCGATCTTTCCATAGCTGACGATTGATTGAGATAGCTGCTGGACTTATTGCCTGGTCCGTAAGGTGCTAGTCATTTCAAGACTCAACATAGGTTACTGCATAACATCCTCCAGCCAATTTGCAAATCTCATGAACTTTTTTCCTCCTATAAAATGTGGCCGCACAAGAGGCGACCACGCGGGGCCAACAATTGTTGCGCTAACTTGTAGCTGTAGCATATGGCACGCTACACGAAGCGTGGAGCTAGTGTGTATCTTACGACACGCCACACGGATTTTGCCTCTATTGTGAATCTTACGACAGGCCACACAGACCGTTAAATCCACCATTAAAACAAGCACATCAAAAACAATTCGGCACTTGTTCAGAGCGTCCACTGCGCCGGCTGATCGACGCTAACGAGACTTCGAGTGGCCCTTGCGGCAGATGTCCACGGTTTCCGTGGAGACACATGAGGCTTTCCGTGGAGATACAAGAGGGTATCCGTGGAGACACATGATGGTTTCCGTGGAGATACATGAGGGTTTTCGTGAAGACACACGAGGGTTTCCGTGGAGACACGTGAGGAATTCCATGGAGACACGTGAGGGTTTTCGTGGAGACACATGAGGGTTTTCGTGGAGACAATTAACCCTTTACTGCCTGACTTAAGGGGAGCGCCTGGGTCAAATTTTATTTCGATTATTTACAGACAGATCAATTTGAAACTTGGTACACATATGTAAAACAGAAAAGTCGACGGCTTTATTCCTGAGAATTTTTCGAAAAATGACATATTTCCAATACAGGTGTTTTTTCGAAAGGCGACTCAAAAGTCCAGTTTGGCGGCAAAGGGTTAACGGTGTCCCTGAGGCTGTCTGTGACGTCTCAATGAACGTCAACTCAGTATCGTCGCCGCTCGCGCGAATATAACAAATTAGAAGTAGACAAATTAACAAATTAAATAGAAGTAGCCACACAGAGTTGTTCATGATGTTCGATTTATGTACTTTAAATAACTAATACGATGGTAGCTAATTTATAAATATTTCAACAAGCTAGCGACACAAGTTTTAACAATTTAAATCACATATCAGTAAAAACAAATCATATAAAAATAACGGAACCAATTTAAATAATAATATAGTGATACATATAAATGTTAGAACTCAAGCCTGTGCAACAATAATTGTGAAGACTTCAAACTGCCGAGACTTCGGACGTCCGAAAGAAACGAATAAGGATTTTAATGCACATATCGAAGGAAATGAATAAGGATTTGAATGCACATGTGGAAAGAAATCAATAATGATATAACTGTAAAATCCCCTGTAATACAATACACTGTGATTGCACATTTTGTCAGAATTGTCCGTGAGCGTCTACATGAAGAATGTAAACATTGCAGCCACGCATTAACAGTTCTAGATGTAGTCAGATGTCGCCAGGAACGTAGCCCAAAAAGTTCGTCAATTGACTTTTGTCCAAGATTAGTGGGGCATTGCCGCTAATTTCTACGCAAGTTTGAAAATGCAAGTCATCATAGTCCACAACAGGCCAAATAAAAACAATTAACTTCTCATAATGGCCCCTTAATTACAAGTCCAATTAGCCAAACAACCATCATAATCATTTTTGATGATGGCGCCTAGCGATGACACTGCATGTCATTGATGTGTTTCATAATACGATAATTTTATGTCTAACTGGGGCAGAAAGCTGAGATTAATTAAATGTTTACACATGAACTTTATTTTCAAGGAAAATTTAGATAAGATCTTCTCGCGGTGAACGCCTTAGGAAGACCAGGGGCCATACTTTCAAAACTCGCTAAGTGAACGTAAGTACTTACGCTCTATTTTCTTGTCTATGATTGGTGGATTTTGCTTGAAAGGCCGTCAATGATTGGCTGATGAACTTACGATCACTTGAATTTTTTTGAGAGTATAGGCCCTGGTTCCATACTTTCAAAACTCGCTAAGTGAACGTAAGCGCTTACGCTCTATTTTCTTGTCTATGATTGGTGGATTTTGCTTGAAAGGCCGTCAATGATTGGCTGATGAACTTACGACCTCTTAACTTTTTCTGGAAGTATAGGCCCTCGTCGCAGCGCACGCCTCAGCCTCCTGCTCACGTATACGTGAGCCGGAGAAGAGCCTAAGAGAAGAGCCGGAGAAGAGCCTAAGAGAAGAGCCGGAGAAGAGCCTAAGAGAAGAGCCGGAGAAGAGCCTAAGAGAAGAGCCGGAGAAGAGCCTAAGAAGCCTCAAGCCTAACGAAGCTCCCACCGCCTGAGCCAGAATATCCTCTAAAATTATCAAATTTTATAAAGCTTCATAGGCCTCGTCGATGTCTCGTCTGTTGAGAAAATCTTCGAGATTCTCGTCCTCCACCTCACTGTTGTTCTCGACTTCATTCTCCTTCTTTTTCTTCTTCTTCTTCTTGTCGGAGTGTTTAATCTTGTCTTTGTCTTTACTTTTCTTCTTGTTCTTCTTAGAGCTTCCGTCTTCGTTCTGAAACAAGAAAGAAATTTACATTCTAAGATTCCTTCATTAAATCACATCAAAATTACAGATAAAATTGAATTATTAGATTTTTCACCGAGATGCGTTTTTCGCAGACGAGGAAAAAACCGCTAGGTGTACTTAGGCTGATAACTTGTGAAGTGTATTAAGTTTGATAGCACGGCCTCATGATGTTAAATTTGCATTCCAATGAAAAAATGAAAGAATCCAATTCAATCAAACAGAGCCGTCAGCGCCAAAAGTAAAAGTAACAGTCAAAAGTAAAAAGATTTTACTTTTGCCAACAGTCAAAAGTAAAAAGATTTTAGATTTGAATTAAAGCGACGCCCGAGACCATTAATTAATTATTTTAATTAATTTTAATCGTGTGACAAACAGCTAACATTAATGAAATATTCACGTGACAGTCAGCTTCTTTCGTTCAGCAGCCGTGATCGAGATTGAGTTTCATCTAATTTGTGAACAAGGATTGGTTAAGACAGCAAAGTTAAATGTTCGCTACGAACTGAAAAAAGAATTGCATGATATTTGTGCGGTTAACTGATACCAGGTGGAAAGCTTGCATCATACAGCATGGAATCAGCTTGGATTTTTATCAATTTAATAAGATTTATATGAATTTATAAAGGAAAGCCAGAAAATATAGACTTAAATGCAACTCCGCGATGATGTCTGGCAACTTAAGCTGCATGGTCACATCGTGGGGTCTACACTGCATCGTCACCTCGTGGGGTCTATACTGCATGGTCACCTCGTGGGGTCTACACTGCATGGTCACCTCGTGGGGTCTACACCTGTCTCTTATACACATCTAGATGTGTANTCACCTCGTGGGGTCTACACTGCATGGTCACCTCATGGGGTCTACGCTGCATGTCACCTCGTGGGGTCTACACTGCATGGTCACCTCGTGGGGTCTACACTACATGTCACCTCATGGTCTTTGGACGAAGTTTTCTTCTTCTTTTTCTTGTTTGCTTCAGGACTGGCGGGGGGAGGGGCGTTGAGATCTGCCGTGGGGGGCGACGCAACACTTCGGGGTTCACTTCCTGCGGGAGATGAAACGTTTTATTTCTTTTTCATTCAAGAATAAAAAAAAACTAACCAATTTCTGACTCACGTCATGACTGAAAGAAAATATTCTCGGTTTTAGATGTCCCCAAAATCAGAATTGATTAACAAATTCTGCATTACAAAGAGGAAACATTCTTCTCATTCGCCGACATCTCAATACAAAAAAAAAATAACCGGGCATTAAATATGGTTTATTACTTTAAAAATTACAATTTCTGTGTAGGCGACGTGATAACCGATTTTCTAACGTATTTATCGATAGGGAAAACATCAGCTGCAGAACGTCCGCAAGTAAATAATAGAGCATGGATAACGAACGAACAACTTAGTTGTTTGTCCACAAATACGTTAACGGTACCTAACGGGACGGTTGCTGCAGCGAATAGGCTAATCGTACCAGAAAGCCTGAAGATATGAGCTACCATCAGCTGACCAAGAGTTAACTCTTTGTCTACGGAGCCGTGAATCATCTATGTTATTCGTATGGGAAGGTTGGGTTGGCTGCCGTCAGTAGACAAACGGTCTACTGACGTCTCTCACGAAATAATTCATTAAAGCAAAATAGTGTAAAGTTGCTTTACCTGCCGCAGAGAGCCACGAGTCGATGGTGCTGACGTCAGGCCCCGTGACGCCAGCGTCAGGAGTGTCAGCAGCAGATGAGCCCTGGGGGATGACGGGTTCTATCTCCACATCAGAAGAGTATCCTGCGATGACGACATGGCCAGCATCACTGTCGCTGTCCCCTTCACAGGGATTGAGTTGGGTCCCCAAACCCCCGCCTTGCTCCTCCTTGCGACATAATCTGCCCAGTCGAGCGCCAGGCACGATTTCGAAGCTCGCGCTTATTGACGACGACTTAGCGTCTGATTTAAGGGAGAGGTTAGTGCAGGAGTGGACGCTCGAGGACGAGCTACGATTGGTGACATCAGCTGAGCAATGTTGATTGGCATGCGCAGGGTCGCTGCACGAGTTGTCTGTGTCGTATTGCGCTGCACCGACACCTAACGAGTCAGAGGCTCGCGTGGAAGAACATTTTTCAGTTTTGTCGCTCCTGGCTGAGAGTCTGGCGCCCACCTCGCCGTAATTAAGGAGGCTGGCGTTAGTAACAACGCCCGTGAGGTCGCTGGCGTCCAGGTCCTCGGCAAACTCGGCCACCAGAGGGTTGTCCGGACTGCCTTCGTCGTCCGAGCTACAAGGAAGAGGGGATACTGAAGTGTGGTGCATGCAATGATAGCAATCTGTTCCAGCCCGGCCCAGGTTGTGGAAGAGGTGAAACTTTCCACTTGCACGAGAAGAACAGAAATTACCTGGACCTTCCACATATTTGTGCGCCAGACAAACCGAAGAGAAAATCAACTTTGTCACAGTCAGTTGCGCTCACCTGTCAGTTCCGCCGACAGCAGCTGTCACCGCAGGGCTGCCTTCGTCTGCCAGGAAGGTCGGGTCCAGCCCCCCGTCGTCAGCGACGAACTCCTCCACCGACTGCACCCCTGCCCGATGTTCCATATTAGTAAGATTGTTTGACTGCACCTTTGCCTTAATTACATATTAACTCTATGCATGTTTCACATATTTAACGAACAAATAATCACAAAAAACACCAAAATTAAACTTTCATCTCAATAAGTTATCCGCAACGGTTAAATTATCCCATAAACTATAATCCACTCCTACTGGTGAGCAGGGCTCCCCCACTGCCTTATCCCTATCAGCTGTCTAGAGGCTAAGATCCTGGGGCGGTTCCTGCTAACCAACGCAGTAGCCTCATTCACCACCTCGGCCTTGTAGCACAGCGGCATACCGAGCCATCGACAAGTGCCCTCCTTCGCTCCCCAGGTTCCAACCGGGATCACGCCGGTTCCACCTTCGACGGCCGACTCGCGTCAACCGCCGCTTTGATCAAACTATCTTTTTGTCCTAGATTGTGGCCTCCGATCACCTCAACGTGGCCTGCTAGCTGTGCTGCTACTGAAGAAGCAGGTTGGCGTTCTGCCTCTTACCAACATATCCATTCCCTTCTATTACCGTACACGAAGGAGTACGTTAATAGTGAGTTAACTTCTCTACTGCCAAGAAGTTTGCTGCAGCTTCAGGCACGTCTTCCGTCATAATTTCCGCCCTGACACCCACTAATCCCGTAAAGCCGCATTTCCGCCGTCTCGTAAGGATTCTCCTGGCACATGATACATCATACCTGCCAGGACTTGCGGGGAGGCGAAAAGGACTTTCCGCTGTAAGATTTTCTACGGCTCGGGAACCTCACGAACAGGAACTCGACCTCTCCTCCAAGAGAGTTCCTAGAGCATCCTAGATTGCAATGCTAGTTCACCGGCATGCAGGGGCTACTTGGCCTGATAGTTCACGTAGAAAATGAAACGAAATCTTCATCTGGTAGTGGATTGAATCAGAGTGAACGAACTACAAGCATACGTTACAACGTAGAATATTTTCCTCTAGTCTGCCATTGACTGATCTGGTGGCTGTAGTGGTAGTGGAGGCCGCGGTGGTCGGAACGCTCGATGGCACAAGTTTTTTGCCCGCTGTGCGAGGAAAATGTTCAGAAAAACAACATAAGCCTGACTCTCATAGTCTTATAGAATCAGAATGAGAATAAAGTTGCCAAGGTTAGAAGTTAACAATAAAGGGTAGGCAAAGAAAGCCCCACTAATGGCATGTCATGCATGGAAGTTCAGCAAATCTGAGTAGAAGCAAGCAAGAATCTTTTTCAAGTACTACAGTTTCAATATTTTGATACAAATGTCCTCAATAAAATATCACGAAAAAATACTAGTAACATGTCGACATTTTTGTCACTTGCGTAAAATCTTGTTTCTTAATTTTCATTTTTTGATTGTATATAATCACGGATATAAATTCACGTTTACACTCGCCGGAATGAACTGGCAACGAAGTAGCCGCTGCTTGCACGACAGGAGCCCCTGCTGCTGCTGCTGCTGCTGCTGCTGCTGCAGGTGCTGGTTTAGGTGCACGCACTGATGCAGGAGGGGCGTGAGGGTGAGGCTTTGCAGGAGGAGCAGCAGGTGCAGAAGGGGAAACTGCAGCAGACGGAATGTTGTTGGTGGCTTTCCTCTTCTCGTTCAGGCGGTCCATGAACCTGTGACATGTGAACAGGAGTTAGAACAACACTGGTAGAACAGCGCGTGTTGCAGCGTGTTGTAATCAGAACAACACTAGTGGAACAGCGCGTGTTGCAGCGTGTTGTAATCAGAACACTAGTGGAACAGCGCGTGTTGCGGCGCGTTGTAATCAGAACAACACTAGTGGAACAGCGCGTGTTGCGGCGCGTTGTAATCAGAACAACACTAGTGGAACAGCGCGTGTTGCGGCGCGTTGTAATCAGAACAACACTAGTGGAACAACACTAGTGCAGCGCGTTGTAATCAGAACAACACTAGTGGAACAGCGAGTTGTCATCATTGTCATCCCTGAATGTAATAATCTAAGCTTTCATTCAAACAGAAACTCGATATTCAAAGCGTATAAGATATTTCTACACAGAATCCCAGCCCAGATTTGAATTCCAGCTGCTGGCATTCATGCAGCATAGTCAATGCTTATCGTGCAAAGCCAGCATTTATGTCAATCAGTTCCAATAATTTTATCAAACTAATGAACTTTTGTAAGATAAGATAAAAATCTAGGACTTCTGTGTAGTACCTAACACAGGCATGGTTCTGACCTGTCATAGTCAGCCTCCTCGGTCTCGTGGCAGGCCTCGAGCTCTTGCATGGTGTCAGTTATAAATAATAATTTTATCAAACTAATGGACATTTTGTAAGATAAGATAACATGGCATGGTTCTGACCTGTCATAGTCGGCCTCCTCGGTCTCATGGCAGGCCTCGAGCTCCTGCATGGTGTCAGTTATAAATAATAATTTTATCAAACTAATGGACATTTTGTAAGATAAGATAACATGGACATGGCTCTGACCTGTCATAGTCGGCCTCCTCGGTCTCTTGGCAGGCCTCGAGCTCCTGCATGGTGGCGCGCGCGTCGCAGGCGTTGGTGCGCAGCAGCCCCAGGAGAGTGTGCCGCTGCAGGGCCAGGAAAGGCAGGTTCAGGAACCTGTGCACCAGCTTCAGCCCAAAGCCGTTCCTCATGGACGACTCGCATACCACCACCTCGCCTGAGCCCTCTGGTCTGGTAAACCAATTACACGTTAGCTTGCATGAAATGGAACATATCAGGAACATATCATGGAACATATTCAGATTACACAAGACAAAAAAGTTTCATGGACGACTCGCATACCACCACCTCGCCTGAGCCCTCTGGTCTGGTGAACCAATTACACGTTAGCTTGCATGGAATAGTCCTGCTGAGCCCTCAGGTCTGGTGAACCAATTACACGTTAGCTTGCATGGAATGGTCCTGCTGAGCCCTCAGGTCTGGTGAACCAATTACACGTTAGCTTGCATGGAATGGTCCTGCTGAGCCCTCTGGTCTGGTGAACCAATTACACGTTAGCTTGCATGGAATGGTCCTGCTGCTGTCTCTTATACACATCTAGATGTGTATAAGAGACAGCACTGATGCAGGAGGGGCGTGAGGGTGAGGCTTTGCAGGAGGAGCAGCAGGTGCAGAAGGGGAAACTGCAGCAGACGGAATGTTGTTGGTGGCTTTCCTCTTCTNCAGCAACACAGGCTCTGCACTGTCTAGTTCAGCACTACCAGCAACACAGGCTCTGCACTGTCTAGTTCAGCACTACCAGCAACACAGGCTCTGCACTGTCTAGTTCAGCACTACCAGCAACACAGGCTCTGCACTGTCTAGTTCAGCACTACCAGCAACACAGGCTCTGCACTGTCTAGTTCAGCACTACCAGCAACACAGGCTCTGCACTGTCTAGTTCAGCACTACCAGCAACACAGGCTCTGCACTGTCTAGTTCAGCACTACCAGCAACACAGGCTCTGCACTGTCTAGTTCAGCACTACCAGCAACACAGGCTCTGCACTGTCTAGTTCAGCACTACCAGCAACACAGGCTCTGCACTGTCTAGTTCAGCACTACCAGCAACACAGGCTCTGCACTGTCTAGTTCAGCACTACCAGCAACACAGGCTCTGCACTGTCTAGTTCAGCACTACCAGCAACACAGGCTCTGCACTGTCTAGTTCAGCACTACCAGCAACACAGGCTCTGCACTGTCTAGTTCAGCACTACCAGCAACACAGGCTCTGCACTGTCTAGTTCAGCACTACCAGCAACACAGGCTCTGCACTGTCTAGTTCAGCACTACCAGCAACACAGGCTCTGCACTGTCTAGTTCAGCACTACCAGCAACACAGGCTCTGCACTGTCTAGTTCAGCACTACCAGCAACACAGGCTCTGCACTGTCTAGTTCAGCACTACCAGCAACACAGGCTCTGCACTGTCTAGTTCAGCACTACCAGCAACACAGGCTCTGCACTGTCTAGTTCAGCACTACCAGCAACACAGGCTCTGCACTGTCTAGTTCAGCACTACCAGCAACACAGGCTCTGCACTGTCTAGTTCAGCACTACCAGCAACACAGGCTCTGCACTGTCTAGTTCAGCACTACCAGCAACACAGGCTCTGCACTGTCTAGTTCAGCACTACCAGCAACACAGGCTCTGCACTGTCTAGTTCAGCACTACCAGCAACACAGGCTCTGCACTGTCTAGTTCAGCACTACCAGCAACACTGGCTAGGCACTGTCTTGATGAAAATTCAGAGATTATCATGCATACCAAGCAATGTTATAACATTCTATCCTCATACATCTCTAGCTATGTTACATTAAATTATGATCTTGACTGGGTCATCTGTCACAAACAAATTGAAGGTTATCTATCACTTTAGCATTGTATAAGAAAGCTGAAAGGAAGTCTCTTAAATTTTTAGTGCTTTTTGCAAAATAAAGCTTAGTTATGGTCACTCATCACTAGATTGGTGCACAGCTTTTGCGCCTCATTAGATGGCAAAATTGATATTTATTTAGATATATGATTGATCAAGAGCTCTATTATGGCTCTTGAACATAACCTTTTACAGTACCTATACGAAAAACAGCTGTAGCATCAATGACATGGATGCTGCAATCTCTTTACACACATTAAACTCACCAAGCCTTTGTGATATCAAAGACGAGGATGACGCCATTCGCTCCCTTGTAAACATCAAGAAATTCTGCATCCAGAGCCACCCCTTCATCTTCATTTTCTGGACTTGTTTCCACATTGCTAAGTTTCAGGCCATCAACCTGAAGCAAAAATTATTTCACAATAATTCAGAAAATGTTGTATCAGACTACAGAACAAAAATTATATTGCATGCTTTCTACAAGTCATAGGCCTAGATTTTTTACATCTAGATTTTTTACCTATTCTAGATAGGTAAAAAATTTCTTCTTACGAAAATTCATTTTGATAGATAACTAGAACTTTAGCCTTTAGATTCTATGAATTAAGTTGGTCTTCTCAGTTACTACGGTACAAGCAATTCAATATCTTTTAAGACCAGATAGAAATAAATCAAATTTCATTGGAATATCAGTCTTTTGAATTGATATTAAATACCTACTATACTCTAAATAAATCAAACTGAACATAGCACTGTGTGTTGCTGACTGAAGCTCTTCCAAAATGATAACAAGTTAAATTTTATCAATTTTTGTGGCAATATCATATTTTCCTTAAAAATTTTCACTTTAAATGATTCTTATCAAACTAATTTGATGTAGGTACAAGAGTTCAGGGTGATGGTTTTACTGCCAAATTTATTTTTAAGTTTTTGTTTATTTTTAGCCTCAAAACATGGGATTCTAACAGTTTTAATGTTGTCATTTGAATTTTTCTTCAATGTGCATTTTTGAATGTATTCACTATATACTACCTCAATAAGCTTGTAACTAAACATTTAATTCCATTGATTTTACCCATATCAGTTATATTTGGCTCAAGTTCATGTAGCCTCTGAGCGTGAGATGATAAGCTTGGATAATGGACATTTTTCCTCCAAAGTTTCAGAATGATAAGTTATGACCTCGCCCCAAGCTTTATGGTTCTTGAGTTAATATTTATAATACTATTTTCAGTGAGTTTTTAATAAGCACATCAGCAAAAGTTTTGAAAAGGTATGCTAATCACTTGTTGCAGCTGTAACAGACCTTTTTTCTTTTCTTAGCTTTGTCAACAACATCCCAGACTTCCACTTTCACCACATCATCTGTGGCTTTGTAGTTCCATTGGATGCAGGCCACCTGAATTTCATCAGTGGGTGAGTACTCGTCAATGAAAGGGCGGCCCTGGAGACGCTGGAAGAGACAAGTCTTGCCAACATTTCGATCTCCTCGTATGACCAATTTCACTGCAGGAAGAAATGAATCTATCAGTTCATTAACCAATCCATCCCAACCCTATTCAACCCAACCAAATTTAATCCAACCTACTTCAACCCAACTCAATTCAATCCAACCAAATTTGATCCAACCTACTTCAACCCAACTCAATTCAATCCAAACCACTTCAACCCAACCAAATTCAACCCAGCCTAAATCAACCAAACCAACTTCAGTCAAATATTACCCAACCCAAATAAACTCATCCCAATCCAACCCAACCAAAATCAACCCAATCTAATTAGATTAAACCCACTTTAACCCAATCTAACGCAACACAAATCAACTTATCACAATTCAATCCAACAACAACAGCCCAATCCAATTCAAACCAACCCAAATTGACCCAACAAAATTCAACTCAATACAATCAAACACAACCCAAATCAGCTCAACCAAATCAAATTCAACCCAACACAATTAAATCTCTCACAATAAAAATTAATTAAACTCAACCCAAGTCTAACATTAGGTTTGGTTGGGTTTAGTTAGGTTGGGCACAAGCGCACAGTATAATGCAATAGAATGCAATAGATTGCATTAGAACACAGTAGATAATGCAACAGATATAGCAAACAGATTAATAGATTAGAACAGATTATAATGCATTAAAACACATTAAAACAGATTAGAAGGCAGTGAAGGCACTATAACATATTAGAACACATTAAAATGCATTAGAACAGACTAGAATGCACCAGAACAAATTAAACTGCAATATATTGCATTATACGTAGCACATTAGATTGTATTAGAATGCACTAGATTTAATTAAAATGCACTAAATTATCTAATTTTTAAAATTAGATTTTTTACACTAAATTTTGTAAATGAATTTTCCAATTCTTGAATTATCCTAAAATCAATAATTTTACACTAGGAACAGCAATAAGAACATTCATCTTAACTTTAGAACTGATTGAACATGTGATAATGTAGTATTGTTTATGTTTTTGCTGAAGAAATAATGCAGTTAGTTGGACATGACAGCAACTATGCAATCAACAACTTTGGATGCATCCATTTTGGGTTCACTCATTGATCATTATGTAGGATATTTTAACACGTTGACTACGTATTGGTACATATGCGTACCACGACATGTATTTCTCCAGGAGGTAGTGGTACATAATTCAGGTTGCCTAAAATCAGCCAAACCCGAGAACAAAAAAGGCTGATAATTCAATGTATACTAGTTTATTTGTAGGTTCTGCTATAAAAATTCCATTTATTTTCTTTTTGCAGTACGGTATTTAAAATTTAATTAGGAAGTACCCCTATCATAAATTCTAGCTGGCCAACGCAATTGAGAAAAACTAAATCATGGAATTTGTCCAGAAAAAATGACTGTCTGGCAACCCTGCTTAAAAAAAGTTCAAAAATGAAATAATAGTACAAGATGAAGCAATCGTAGTCAAGGTGTTAACATAAGCATGGTACTAAACTGCACAAGTTGAAAATTTGATGAAATGACACATTTGTGAACCAAAATTGTTTTCTATCAAACAAAAATACATTACATTAGAGCAGCAAGATTTCATACCTACTGAAATGATATGATATAATAGACACAATACTTTGGAAAAAACAAAAAAGTATGACTTTTCTGAACTAGTATAGGTGTGTAGGCCACATGACTAAGGTGTTATGGTGGTGTACTTGTAGCTGTGCACCCGTGTTTGAACTAATTTTAGTTATGGAGCAAGGCGCATTTTTTCTCAAATGTTACAGTGCATCGTGAAGATTGAAAAAATGATAACATAAATTCCTGTGCACCTAGCACACCTTCCTGAGTTCCTGCCTATGGCATGCTTTAGTCAATTTCATCTGTTTTTGACATTTTTAAATTCATTTTCCTGAGAAATAGGAAAAATAATGCATTTATACTTAGAATTTTTACAAATCTCTTGCAAGATGGTAAATTAAAGCTTTAAAGGTAGAATAGTTTTTTGAAAATTCTGTACAATAAACCAGCCTATTACCAGAAGATCTAAGCTGGAATACCTATTAAATTAAAAAATTTTGTAAATGACAATTGACAACTAAATAAAAACAATCATTTCATGGCTATTTTTTAAAAGTTACATGCAGACACAAAAATGCAACAATAATCTATTCTTTCTAAAAGAATTAAGACAAAGCTCTCAAGAAGTATAAAATTTACTACAAGAATAGGATTTTTTTCTAATTCACATGCAGCCACTACAAAATTTTTCAGAATTGTGGACCAAGATTGGGATTAAAAAAAACATATGGCTATGTTAGAGTATAGTGGACTTTTCATGACTATAAAATATTGAATGGAATCCCTACCTAACACGAAAGCACTCACTGTTATATTGAACCCCTCTTGCAAACCGTCGCTGTAATGAGGCAGCCATCGTTTGAACTCCTCCAGCAGGAGCAGGTAGGTTTCCACCTCCTCCATCGGAAGTGGCGCGATTAGTTAATTTACGTAACGCAGAAAACATGCCTTTCAGCAGATAAAAGACATAAACAGAAATAATGAGCCATCAATCGGCTACTAAGTCTCTTTAATGCATAATGATTTCTTGTTAAACTCTCCTAATAGTCCAAGTTTTAGCCAGCTGATCGTAACACTGGCGCAGGAGAATCATAGATGATAAGATGTTTACATTCGGAGATCCTTTATCCATATACTAGTTATCTATTATATTCGGAATGCATAGAAAAATTAAACGATTTAAGAGTTCATCCGGGATTTAATTGCTTTTATTATTAGTTATAATACTAAATTTTACAAAAAGTGAAAATTGAATGCCTTATGTTGTGAAATGCCTATGAAAGTTAGCTCGTTATCGCTTGTTTGTTTCCTTGAGATTTTGGACTAGTCCCACATGCAACACACCGCTCCAGGAGGCGCCATCGGCAGACATGACAATCTGCCAAACATGGACACCAAGTAATTAACATTAAAGACATGACTTAACATGAAGTAATTATTAACTAAATTCACGTCTGGTATACTGATAGCATTACAAGAATTGATAAACTATACTGGTGAATTGGTAAAGTATCTATGGTATTATGGGCAGGTATGGCCCAGTATCTATGGTATTATCTATCTATGGTATATATTATCTATCTATGGTATTATGGTATGGGCAGGGGGGCCCAGTGGTTAAAGTTCAGAGTACCAAGATTGGCGCAGAGAGGCGCGGGTTCGATCCCAGCTCTGTGCGCCAGTTTCTGGTCAGAATCGGCAAGGAGGCCGGGCGGTTAAGCACAGAAGAACTGTAGCAGTGAGTTGCGCGTTCGAGACCGCAAAATGCTGTGAATGTTCTGCGATGTTAAGAATCGGCGACAGGCCTACGACCTAATAAAGTAATAACGCTGAAACCGCTATTATATTATATATATATATGGTAATGTATACCGGTTGTGAACTTGGCGATCGTGCGTAGTCGGTCCTCTCTGGGCGCAAATATATCAACCGTTTTTAATTATAACCGATTTGATTCTAATTAAAAATTACACACTACGCTCCCGCAAGAGTGGTCATAATTGATTTTGTCCGCTTCGCATTCGTTTAGCGCTCTGCGCTAAGAAATTTCGTGCCAAATTCCAGAAGGTTTGGACTGCATGACCCCTCCGAGTTTCCCGCGCTGTTCCTGATCAACGCCGGTGATGATGGAAGCAAGTAACTTGGTATATCACGTCCGGCGTGATGCACAACGCGGTATGGTTGAGCTAGTATTAGGTTGACCCATCAGAAGCCCATTTTTGCGGATGTAGTTCGTTGTTCGCCTGTGACGTCACTGATCTCAGTGACGTCACGGGCATTAACCAATCACCGAAATGCGATCAAACCAGTCAACCAATCCGTCATGGGAATGATGGGTTTGTTTACGTTTCTCGATCTACGTGACGTAACAAGAAATCCGAACTGAAAGACGGAACTTCTCGTGGGTCAACCTTGTATAGTTCAACCATGGTTTTCAGTTCATGAAACTTATTACTTGTTACTGCTCAGGCTGGCTTCAGTCGAGGCTTGTCGTTTGGCACAGCAGATCAGGACTTCACTCTGGACAGCTTGGACCCACTCAAAAACTGAATTAGCATTTGTAATTGAGAAGTTTTTCATGGTGGTATCAACGGTACAGATACACGAGATCTTACCTCGGTTAAGAAAGGTTTGGTGGCAATTGAAGATTTGAGAAATTAGTCTGCTTTGGACACACTCAAAAATTGAATTAGCATTTGTAACTGAGAAGTTTTTCATCGTGGTATCAAAGTTGCAGANAACCCGATCTTTCCATAGCTGACGATTGATTGAGATAGCTGCTGGACTTATTGCCTGGTCCGTAATTTGCTAGGCATTTTAAGACTGAACATATGCTCCTGCATAGCTTCGTCTAGTCTGTTATTGAAGATGTTCATACTCGAGTTCGAAAATGCTGTGAATGTTCTGCGATGTTTAGAATCGGCGGCAGGCCTATGGCCTACTAAACGCTGAAACCGCTATTATTATTTATTATTATAAGGTGTAACCTTAGCCCTAAGTTACAAAAGGTTTTGATGTGTTGTTGTGCGATCTTTTGAATTTCATCCATTTCATCCAGAGGTGCTACCTTTCTGTCGTGCAGCTCTTCTAAGTATACTAACATGATATATGGTATTTATTTTCAGCAAACGGACATCCCAGTTAAAATTTAAGGCCGTGGCGCCGTTGTTTATCGGCGTGGAGGGCGATTATGAGCGCGCAACGGCAGATTGGCCGCTTCTCCCAA